AAATTTTTTTTTAATTCTATAAAATTTAATGACACTTTTTTAAAATTAATTTTTATATGATGATAATTTTTAATGGTTGAATTTTTTTTTTTTTGTTTGGGAATTCATTCATAACTTTTATTTCATGCAACTTTTTAAATTGACAAAAAAAAAAAATGCAGATTACTTTAGTTCAGATTAAAATGAAAATAAAGGAAAAAAATTGAAGCTTAAATGAAAATTTTTTTAAATTAAGCTCATTAGCATAGTAAGAAATCAAATTTTACTAATACAGTAATTAGCTAATATTTTAATTTTAATAAATATTAAATAATTATTCAAGGAAAAATATAAAACAAGTAAGTTATGCATTTTTGAGAAAAATTAATGAAAATACCATATACAATACTTTATCAAATAATAATAGCCTTATTCATTAATCAAAAAAAAGAAAAAAAATTAGTTTAAAATTATATTAAGCATTTTCGGTGATACAAAAAAGAAATTCCGACTATTGGTATGAGATTATTGGATAAGCCAATTAGTGATGAAACTTAATGAAGCAATATAATGAAATGATATTATAAATATTCAATGACCGTAACACATATCCTTTCCAAAAAAAAAAAGATAACGATAACCTAGTACCATTTCGCTTCTTACACAAAAATGACATATGGTTAACCTTTTTTTTTACCCCATATGATTACCGTATATCATCAAAGTATATATCTCTTTAAAATTTTTTTTTTTTTTCCCCCTATACCTTTTTGATCATTCATTCTTGTTAAGAGATTTTGTAAAAATTTATAAAATATAAACCAAATTAATCAAATGTGTAAAAGAAAAAAAGGAAAGTAATGATATCATTTCGTATTCTTATCATACTCTTATCAACAATTATCAAACAAAAAAAAAAAAAAAACAATAACAGTAAATCATTTCAATCTTCATCTTTTCTTTTGCTTTTCTTTTTTTTTTCTTTTGTTTTTTTGAATGGAAAAAACTTACAATAATTTTTGCAAAAGAAAAAAAGAAGAAAATATTGATTAATTTTGTGATATCATCTAAAAATTCTTATCAATTATCAGCATTAATTACCCAAACTAGTATTAGTAGTAGTAATTATTGAAAATGTATTAGGCAGGTAAAAGTAATAAAAATTCGTTACTTCTAGTCCTACCAAAATAGTATATTTACTTCCTTACTCTTGGTTTGCCCCATGAATGAATGGAAAATAATAGATCGGTTGCACTGGAAGTAAATTGACCCGGGGATTTTATGATCGCCTACTACCGGTACTTCAATATCGTTATTGTACAATATTCTTCTATTTAAAAGAAAGGGTGAAGGAGAAAAAGAGAGAGAGAGAGAAGAGAAAAGAAGAGAAGAGAGAAAAACAAAAGGAATTATGTATTTTAGAAAGTTTAAAGTTATTTATGTATAAATGATAAAATTAGTATTATCAGTATTAACAAATGTTAATTTGATAATAAGGACATTTTACCAGAAGCACTTAATAGATGGAATTGATAGCATTCGATAATACAATTACTATTTGTCATTTGATAAGAAAAATATGACTGAATGCTATAAAATATTTCATTAATATTAATCAATTTAGTTAATTTTACATGAAAATCTAAAAAATATATTTTATTTGATGTTAATGATAATGCCGATGATTATAATGATGTTAATGACAATGCTGGTAATGATTATAATTGCCATGATTAACATGATTATTAGATTGATAACGATTGATGTTATTGCTATTACTATCATTATTGTTAGTACTGTTATTATTAATTAATTGATGTCTAATCATTTATTAACGATTGCATTTTTTACAGTAAGAAAAATATGATTGAATACTATAAAATATTTGATTATCAATTAGTAATTATTTTTAAACTTGCTTTAATAATAGAATAATTTTTGTCGTACTTTTCTCTTCCATTCAAACTTTACGCTTTATTTTCATTTATTAATTTATTTGCTCATTTCATAATTACAGTTAAATAATCTAATCAAATAACCTAAGGTCACTTAATCATCTTAAGCTAATTATTACGAATACGACAAGCTTATAAATTCACCAATATAATTTTCAAATTTTTTAAAATATTTGATAAAATTAATCAACTTTGATCATTCCAGATCACTTGGATTTTTCCGAGTCACTTGATAACATGTGTCATTTGATCTTCTTATGACTATGTCAATTTACAATTCGCTATAATTTGCTTATACGTTATCATTTAATTAAAAATGGCTTATTTATTAATTCAAAATTTTATTTTATTTCTCATTTTGTAATATTTTTATTCGTTTCGTATGAAAATTTTCCTCCTTTCTGATGAATAAATTCATGAATTGAAAGATAAAAAAGTAACATTTTGTATTATTCATTCAAATTTTTTTTTTTCAAAACATTATTTTACATTGAAAAAAAACAAATTAAAGCACAGTTAAAGTGTAATTCAATAAAAGTAATTCAATTTAAGTGTAATTAAAATAAAAGTAATTTAATTTAAGCAGAAAAAAAGAACGATTATTTAAGCTTAATTTAAGCATTGCCTTCAAAAATATGCACAAAGAAAAAACGAGTAATTCAAATGAAATTTTGTTAATTAAATTAAAATTTATCAAACATATTAATTTTAACAAATTTCGCATTTCTTAATCAATAATACTTTATGTATAGTAATTCAAAACAATTTCCTAATTTTATTCAAAATATCTCTTTTAATATTTAAAATGAAATTTCAATCGAACAATTATTTCAAATCAACAAATTGCTTAGCTTTAAATTATTTTCAAATATCAAAACAAAAAGAGAAAAAAACAAACAAACAAACAAATGAATTTTCAATTAATTTCTTTTAATTTTGTCATACTGTAACTAAATCAATGCAATATTTGATGCGTTTTTTTTTTTTTTTTCTAAACTTTCATTCATTTACATAATTAGCAAATAAGATTGGCTGTATAAGGTATGGATATTGTAATGAGAAAATTTATTGAAATATTAGAATGGAAAAGAATGGATGCTGAAAAAAAAAAAAAAGATTTTGGATCTTTCGATGGATTTTTCCAGTTTTGAATACATGGTATTGTTATTGTTGTTACTGGTCAGGTCATATTTTATTACCAATGTCGCCTTGAGCTGTCC